GCTGCGGTCGGCTCTGGCCCCGGTGGTGCTGCCCCCACGCTGCGGTCGGCTCTGCCCCAGATGCCAGTGAACACAGGAAACACCAGACTGGACTTAAAGATCCTATAAGCTGCTTGTTTGCCCCTCAGTCTGTCTCAGTATGACAGACACTCTCCCACCTTCTCTTTGACTCACAGCTTACACACAGTCATCCAGTCTGCAAGACTCACTGTCAGCCGCATTGTTACAAGCGTCGCCGCCAAGGGTCGGCGCAGCGTACGGCGTGTTTTGTGGCGTTTTCCTGCATTGCAGCGGCGGGGGCTCTTGGAAGTCGGAGAACTTCTGAGCCGGTGGGCCGTCGACTCAGGGCCATCCGGGACTCTTTGCTGCCCTGTCACTTTCTAATCTGAGCCTAAGGAGTAATAAAAGCGAGCAGGTCGCCCTCAGGGGTGGAGCTGGGAGCTTGCTTTAGACAGCTGATGCTCAGCAACTGCCGCTGCCAGTATAAATAACTATGGACTATGGGTACAACCAAGACAGGGGATAACAGATGCTAAAACCAGTAGCTGACACTTCTGTGTCTGCCGCCGGAGTGGAGAGGAACCAGGTTCCTACACTATCGTCCTACAAAGCCAAAGCAGGCCTAAGATGCTCCCCCCTGGACCCATTTCACACCTCGTTTCACCGGTGTAAACTCTTATCAAGAGCCACCTGCCTCAGACGACTTCCTCCCGGGACCCCAGTGCTTAACCACTACAGATTAGCATCCTTTCAGCACCATTGCTGCACTAGTGCTACACTACCTAGAATCATGGCAACTACAACATCCATGACAGCCATTTTGCCTGACCTAGTTCTGGCCAATAACATTGCAGCGAATGACAGAGATGGAACAGGCAGGAAAATACTTCTGAGCACTCGAAGGAGCACTACACAGGGACAGCATCATCCTTTAGGCGTCCGAGGTCAGGCCTGGGGGGGGCGGGGGTCCTCATGCTGATATAACGAGGCAGTTAAGTGAAACCCCGGGGCCCAGAGCCAAGCCCTCTTAGATGACATGTTGGATCCAGCTGACAAATGACATGCGCCGGAGATCCCTCAGCCCATGAGCGGAGACAAACGTTCCTCTGCCAGTGGCACATTTATGCAGTCAGAAAAATAACCGTCCAACCCAACATAACTCTTAATCCAATTCATGTGTCACGCGTTGGAAACTAATAGTTTTATCCACGGCGCAAGACTGTGCCTGTGTGTACTTCAAGGGGACTCTGAGCGAGGTAGCAAGCCAGAATGTGGAACCTCCTGCGTTTGTATTTTACAGAAAGGTACGTGCATAAAATAATAAGAAGGGGAGAAAAAAATTGTGTGCTTTCATATCCCTCTACTGGGGGAAGTAATTTAGAACAAGGCCAACTTGATGATAAGTCTGTGATGCACAGTGAACAAACGCTTGTATTTATCATTTGAAAGGCTGGTTGGGGCCAGGGGTGATTGGACAGCTCCATGCTTTTCACAGGCACATTACTGGGATCAGCGGAAAGTGGGAATAACAAACAAGTGCACGAGGACCACAGTGCCTTGGAGGATCAACTCATTATGAAAATGAAGAGGAACATCACCTGTGGGATTCGCGAGGAATACAGTGATGCTGATGCCCTGTGAAAAGCTGGGGAAGGTGGCTCTGGCAGCAGTGACCAGGGGGACGGAGGGTCATCACCAGTCACTCTCTGCAGCTTGACATTTGTACAGCGCGTTTCATTCATCACAGGGCTCCGTGGGTCGAGCCGCGTGCACTCTGCGCTGCCGGCGGGAAGAATATGAATCGTGGCGCCGCAGAGCCGTAAAACTGCTTTTAAATATTCATCCCTCCTTTCGTCCTGTGGGAGCCCGCATCAGAGACATGTTGATTTAAAATGCGGCGTCGGTATTTAGGACTGATGTAGTGGCACATGGAGAGTCTGTGTGAGGAGAGGAGAGTGGATATGGGTGCCGGGCGCAGATTT